CCGTAATACGCGTTGTTAGTAAATTAAAAAAAAAAAAAAAAAACGCGTATAGAAAAGCCAAGAAACTACTTTAAAATAGAAAAGCCTAGAAAATGACGTAATTTGACTAATAATAATATTACAGGGTCGTCCACAGTTATTTTCGTCGCGTCCATAATTATTTTCGTCGCGTCCATAATTATTTTCGTCACGTCCATAATTATTTTCGTCGCGTCCACAGTTATTTTCGCCGCGTCCATAATTATTTTCGTCACGTTTAAAATTATTTGATATTATAAAAGACTTTTTTATTGCTTAGAAAATGAAACAAATCTATCAGTTTAATTTAAAACTAGCAGTATGCAACCCGTAATACGCGTTGTTAGTAAATAAAATTAAAAAAAAAAAAAAAAACGCGTATAGAAAAGCCTAGAAACTACTTTAAAATAGAAAAGCCTAGAAAATGACGTAACTCGACTAATATTAAATTAGCGTATTCATATTATCAGAAGTGAATAAAAAATAGATACAATAGAATTATTCCAAGACCAGCAACAACAGGGGACATGGAAATGGAAATATCAAATATTCTTTTAACATCTCGTAATGAATCACTACAAGGATTTTATACACATATGCGTGAATGGGTAGTAAGAGGAATCAAACGGAATGAATTCATTTAAATGAAATTTATTGACTATCTTATATCTTTATTTACATCTTTGCATTTACATCTTTGTATTTATATCTTTATTTACTTATTTGTATTTTTTCGCATTCAAACTGTAAGATTTTTATTAAAATAGTATACCCCAAAAAGCTCTTCAATGGGATAAAGTTGCGGACTATAGGGTGGGAGAAAGTGAACAACACACATTCCATTTTGAATTGCAGAAGTTACAATAGCTGAATGATGAAATCGAGCATTATCCATAATGATAACATACCTTCGATTATTTAGGGCTGGAATTAATGAATTTTCAATCCATTTTTTCGTACTGACAGCATAAAAAGATCCTACTTTCATTTGAAATGATATAATACCTTCTACGAAAAGCACATATAAGGCTTATATTTCTTCCCCTTTGTGTTGGTACAGTGATATAAGGTGTACTCCTACTTAATGCATATCCATGATGCCTTGATTGATGAAGGTTAAAACCGGTTTCATCAATAAAAATTATATCATTATCATTAATAGAAGAAACATGAGTACAATACAGAAATCTCTGTCCTATAACCATCGCTGAGTTTCTTGCAGCCACAAATGGTTTTAATCTCTTTCTAGTATAACCCATATTTTTTAATTCTCTCTTTATAGTTGTTATGGAGCATTTATTTTTTTCGGATATTAATTCACCCATATCCATTGCTGTAAGGGAATTATTTGCCGATACAAACAGTTCAATTTCTCTTCTACGGTCAGTATTAATCTTCGCAACAGGTCCACGTTATTTTGGTTTAGCATCGGGATTATTTGAAAGTTTCATTACCCAATTTTGGACTGTTCATATAGAAAACCCAGTAGCTTGTGAAATATCAACGTTTTTTTCATTATATTTAAAGTACATATATATTTATATATATATATATATATATATATATATATATATATATATATATATATATATATATATATATATATATATATATATATATATATATATATATATATATATATATATATATATATATATATATATATATATGTATATATATATATATATGGCAACAAAAACTTTGACTTGATTCTAATTGATACCTGTTCCGTAAATTATCAATTTAGTGATATTTTTACACAAATCCAACTTTGTTTTTCTTATTCTTGTCAATGTTTTGATTGTTGTTCTAATTGAAATTGGGGTAAACTTACCATAATCTTGGGTTACTTTTGTAAGCAAAAAGTACATACAACCTTTAACTCTACTCAACTGATAAATAACTGAAATTCTTCTCTCCTTTTATTTTTTATTTATTACAAGTGTATAGCTGTTTTAACATGTCAAAATTAGGCTCTGTTTATAAAATTGAATTGGGGTATAACTGGGGCAAATAAGAATGTTGCCATACGGCAACATGAAACAATAGCGACAGTATTTGTAGTGATTCAGTTTTTGTTTTCGATATGTTATTTCAAAGTATTTATTTTATTACACAGTTTTACTAACTAAGTTAAATCATTACTTATATTTTAGAAAAATATCTTTAAATTTGCCATGAAGGTGATGATTGGTTTGAAAGTGATTGCAATATTGATTTTATTCTTGTTAGTAATGATATTGCAGATCACTTTAGTTAGTGATATATATTTTTTTCATATTATTATTCTTCGTGTTGTTTTAAGTTCATTTTTATTTTCAATAGAAGTATTCTTTTGAGTTGTGTAAACTTTCACATAAAATATCACTAATTACATTGTAGATTTAGAAGATGAACAAGATGATATAAGAGAAAAGATTGAGGATAAATTCAGGGCTGATAAAGAAGATACTATGTCAACAGATAGTGCTTCAGAAATTTTGAACATCTTCAACTGGTCTAACAAAATATCTGAAACAAGTTATTTGTTTACTAATAATTTTAGTATGCCTCCTGTAAATTTTTCTGATTTCACAGCACAAAACTTTTTCAAAATGTTTTGAGACGATTCCATAACAGAAGTATTAGTAGAACAAATTAACCTCTATAGTGTGCAACCAACTGGAAAAAGTATAAACACAAGTTTTAATGAAATGGAACAACTTATATGTATTCATATGTTGATGTCAAATTACCATCTTACCAAATGCTTTGGGCAACTAAGACCAGGAATGCTCCAGTAGCTGACATTATGTCAAAAGATAGGTTTAAAAAATTAACGCAGCATTTACATGCAAACAGCAATACACTAAAAGATGTTGGAATAAATAAAACTAACAAAGTTTTTAAAGTTCAGCCTATCAAAGATGCAGTTAGAAATAACTGTATTAAAACAGAGCCTAAAGAATATCATTCCATTGACGAACAGATAATTCTAAAAAAAAACAAAGTGTAGCAGAATAAGACAATACAATCAAAACAACCAGTAAAGTGGGGTTTTTCAACCAGTAAAGTGGGGTTTTAAAAACCCTATACGAGCTGGTAAATCTGGAATTAATTATGATTTTTTTCTATATCAAAGTGGATCAACCGGTACAAACTAATGTAATAAGAAGGTTATGCAAATATTTACCAAGTAATGAAAATCACAAGCTTTTGTTTGATAACTGTTTTACTACTTTAAACTTAAGTTTGTATACTTTGCACTGCAACTATTCGCATTAATCGAATTAAAAATGTTCTTTATCAACAGATAAAGAACATAAGAACCATCGTCGTGGCAGTAGTTCCGTAATGAAAGACAAAAATTCTGATATGTTTTTGGTTAAATGGTTTGATAATAAGTGCGTTCATTTGATTTCGACATTTTCATCTCCTCAATCTTTAGCATCAGTCAAGCGTTGGGATTGAAAAAAAAAAGCTTATATTAACATAATGTGTCCTAAATGAACATAATGTGTCCTAAAAAGATTACAATGAAGCAATGGGTGGTGTAGATTTAGCAGATATGCTAATATCTCTTTATCGAACCAATATCAAATATAAAGGGTAGTATCTAGAAATTATATTGACATTGTAATGACATTTGCAAAATCAATGGTTGGTTACATTATCGTCACTTTGCTGACCAGAAAAACTTACCTAAAAAGGAGCAAAATAACCTTCTTAAGTTTACAATCGATATTGCTTGCGGACTGACAATGTTAAATAAAGTCTCTAGTACTCATCCAGTTGGAAGAGCATCAAAAAGTTTCGAACATAAACCTCCAAGTAAGCGTGTTTAAAAAGCTTAAGTGTTAATGCCAGTTAGTGATGTAGGCTATGATTTGTTGAATCATTGGCCTGAGTTCCACAAAAATACGAACCGCTGCAGATATTGTTTGACTGATTACAGTTGTGTATACTGCACCAAGTGCAAATTATGTTTATGTTTGACAGGCGGGAAAAACTGTTTCATATAAATTTCATAAAAAGCATAGAGTTTTATGGTCAAAGGATGTCATGGTTGAAACTTAACATTATTTTGATTTTCATATTGTCAAACTGACCACTAAACCCACCCACCTCGCCTAACACTCTTTGTTGAGTTAAATATATTTCAATTATTTTATAATTGAAAATATCATGTAATGTGAACAAGTTTTATTTAATAAGTTTTATAAATAGTTTGCTAGCATATTTAAATATAATAGCAAGAAAGAAATCTTTTAAAATTTTTTTGTCTGTTACCTTCATCGTTCAATGTTGCCAAATGGCAACAATTAAAGTTTAGGTGTTACTGTATTTGAAAAAAAAAAATTTTTCTTTATATTTTTATAATATTTATTGCAAAAAAATTTTTAAAATATTTTCTCAGTACTTTTTTTAGTATTCGACCAATAAAGAGATACATATATATATATATATATATATATATATATATATATATATATATATATATATATATATATATATATATATATATATATATATATATATATATATATTAAAGTTAAATAAATAAATAATAAATGTTTTAATTTATCTAAAAAAGTTGCAACAAAGTTTACGGTTTAACTGAAACGAAACTCTCTATCGAAACTAGAATCTCTATCTCTTTTGAAAGGTCAGTGAAAGCAGCAGGTTTAGAACAAATTAGAGCGTTTAAGGATTTTGTGGTTCGGCATTAAATTTCTTTGACTTTCGATAGAGAGTTTTGCTTAAATTATGAACAAAATTTACATTATTTTAAAAGAATAATTACTGTATAGTTCAATAATTACGTTATTAATTCAATAATTTTATATTTATTTATATATATATATATATATATATATATATATATATATATATATATATATATATATATATATATATATATATATATATATATATATATATATATATATATATATATATATATATATATATTTATATATATATATATATATATATATATATAAATATTTATTGCATTCAGAAAAAAAATATGAAACTTCTGAAAATTCTTCTTCTTTTTGTCATGGCTATTGCAGCTGAAAGCAAAAGTGGTTGTGCATATTGGAGCAAATATTGCTATAAGAATGATGACCGATATGATGGGGTATAAAACTTCTTATTTAAAAAACTGTTATAAAACAATATACATTTTTATTCCTCCTCAGTATTAAGATAATAGAGATAAGAGATGTTTTATATGAGATAAGAATTCTAGTATATGTGATCAGTAAATGAGATAAGAATTCTGGTATATGTGATTAGTAAATGAGCTAAGAATTTCATGTGGCTAGGTAGCATAAAAGCAATTTATCAAATTAAAAACGTTATAAACGAGAAAATTCATTAATTTTATTTTCTCGCAATAACGTTTTTACTTTTATATTATACCATGTTTTAGCTAAGACTTTTAGCGTTGGTTTTTACAATATGTAGATATCTATATATTATTTTATTTATGATAATTTTACGATACATTAATATATCTACATATTATTATCAGAGACGTAGGTAGGATTTTAACGTCCTTGGCAAATATATATTTTGGCGCCAGTTTACGCCAAAGTTGAAATTTATTTCAAAATGTTCTTGACAAAAAAAAAAAGGAAACAAATACACAAACTAATATGTAGTTGAATATGCTTATATGCATTTTATTTTCTAGACAATTATACAACTTTGTATATACAATTTATCTGAAATGATTTTGGCACCCTTTGAATGTTGCGCCCTTAGCAACTGTCCATATGCCAACACCTAGATACGTCTCTAATCTTTATACTATAACTTAACAAGAACTCTATATCTAGTTAATAGTTAATAGCTACATATCTTAGTTTTTTAGTTATCAATATTGTTGAAGATTATTTTAAAACTATTTAAAAAAGAAGATAAATAACAAGCAAACCAGTCTGACGTTTTATAAAATATATAAAGTTATATCAATGTGGTATACATAATCGCTAGCAATCATCAGCCATATTTACATAATCGCTAGCAATCATCAGCCGTATTTACATAATCGCTAGCAATCATCAGCCTTATTTACATAATTGTTAGCAATCATCATTTACATAAATATTTGCAAACTAAAAGCAACAATGCACTTATCTTGCAAACAAACGGGGAAAAGTATACTGAAGTATAATGAAACTCTCTAGTGCGAAAGGATGAGAAAGTTTTCTTGTTTTTTGTGTTTCTTTAATGATCTTTTTGCCTTCTTATGCTACCTTTCTAACTCGACTACTTCTGACTTTCACAATATCTTCTGTTTTTCTAAACTTATTTGTCGTGGTCTACGGAAGCGCGTTATGATACTCTTTAAGGAGTTTAAGAAGACAGGACTTCTGCGGACCTTGGTATGTGGCTTCTGTATGGAAAGAAGGATAATCTACAATATCAGCAGTATTTAAATCTCTTTGTTAAATGCTGCTATAAGCTAATAGATGGTTCAAAATGAAATGGCAGTTTTTAACACCAGCGTTAAAATAAACTCGTGTTTTTAGCCGCTGTAAACAAATAAAAATCGATTAACGGCTGATAATTTACGCATGCGCAAATACAAATAAACGAATTTGATTAGGTTAGCAGAAGTTAACATATCTCAGAAGTTAACATAACTCATTTTTGGTTACCGTTTACATTTATATATTCCAATTTAGCGGATTGACTGTTTTTTAAACAACTGCAAATGCGTCTTTCTATTTAAAATAAAGTTTCTGTTGTTGTTTTTTAATTTCGAAAATGTTTAATTTTTTTTTCCTCCTAATAGTTTTTTTTTACCATTTTTTTATAACATTTTAATTAGAAGAATATGCAGGAAATATATATATTTTCTTAGATTTTAATTATGTGATAAAAATGCGTCATTTTATATTTAATTTTGTGGCGAAAAAAAACAACAAATCATACAGTAAGTAATCTTATCGACCAACTTCTGAGGTATGTTAACGTCTGCTAACCCTTCTTAAGAAGTCAGTCTTGAGGCTTTTGAAATCAACCGGGGATGCGTCAATAACCAAAAGAAACATCATCGAGTTTAAACGAATGATTATTGTTAAACTACCAAGGTGACATCATCAAACCAAAATGATTATACAAAGTGTCACGTTAATTAGAGGTTAATCACAATTTAATTATAATTTAATATATTAATAAAAATTATTTATACTAAATAATAAACTCTTGTCAATATAATTTATTTATGTTAACAAGAGGCAAGAGTAAAAGTTAGTCAATAAATTGTTCTGTGATTTTCAAACAATAGGATATAGATGCAAATGAAACTTTTTATAGTCTTCAACACAACGAAGTCTTTTATTGTGCCATCAAAAATAAGCTGTTCTTAGAAAAAATAAGCAACCAAATAAAAAACTATTTTCAAAATATTAGCAAAATATCTTTGTCCAAAAGTTCAGTTTTTAGAAGGTTACTAATATTGAGATTTTTTCAGATCTTGAAAAAATCTTTTATTTTCTGACGAATAATAAGCTAGAATTGTATTGGCAACTGCTCATATGCATATTCATAAATGGGGCGATGATTATTGTAGAATTTTAAAGGTTATCATGGCAACTTAAATGTATGGAAATCTAAAGGTAATCCTTTGGAACCCAAACAGACAAAAAGAATAGTCAAGCATGTTTTTAGAAAACGCAGGGCCACAGAGAGGGAGGGGCCACTGGGACAGTTTGTCCTGGGACGCAGATATCTAAGGGGTGCCATATGAAATTAAGGTGTCTAAAAAAAAAAAAAAGAGGTCTTTTATATATAATAAAGGAAAATTTTGATAAATAAGGGCGCCAATCAGGATTGCTGTCCCAGGCGGCAATCCTCATTGGCGCCCTTATTTATTTTTATGTATATATGTTTTTCTGATTTGTGTGGAGTTTAATCTATCCATCAAATAAATGACATTATAGATTGATGTTTATGTTACAATAGCAGAACCGAAATACACGTATAAAGTCGTTAAACATTGGTTTGAATTGAATAAAATCAAAGTAGATCAAGGTCAGATCTTCTGATCTTAATCTGAAAGAAAGTTTATGAACTTTCTCTAAAACACAAAGTTCCTTCAAAAATACCAATGATATTAAGAATTGATAAACTTTTGTCTACGCCAAAAGAATATTTTATGATTCTAAAGAGTTTAATCTACCAATAATGATTAACTAATTATTTAACCATTAACTAATGATTTTAGTGTATATTTTTTAGTAGTTATAAAATAGTTGCAAATGTTTTGAGAGGATCAAATTTTTTACATTAAAACACAAAAACATGCAAAACAATTCGTATATTCATTTTCAGGTAGTCACGTTATGCGCAAATCGTTTCCTTATATTTAATATTATCGTTTAAAAAGTATTTTTAAGAAAAAAACTGCATTCGGTATTTGCATTTGAAAATTTTTTTATTGTGTTTCTTATGTTTTTGAGGGCAATTTAAAGAACTTTGACGATGATGTAAAAAAATGATCCTTTATCAGAAAATATTACTAATAAAGAAAACATCTGTATACCTTTATTGCCAAAGGTATTTCAAAGAACTAATTTTGGTATAATGAAAATAAAAATTAATTTTACAAGCATTGTTTTCCACAATTGTAACACCACAATTATAAATACCATTGCAGTTACGAGTAGACGTTCATCACATCCTTCATTACATTGAGTAAACGCTCTGGGGTCGATGTTAAAAAACTTTTTATCAGCGTAAAATGCTACCGGCGGAATTTTTGCTCTGGAATTTTTACAGCCGTAAATATAGAGACGTAAAATGTTTTTTCATTCAATGTTATAAAACTTTTACTGGCGTAAAATTTTGCAGATATTTATGCTCGGAATTTATTTGCGGAAACTTACTGTCAATTCATCAATCTGGAAATTACTTGAAAACATCAAAGTTAACAAAAATTAACAGTTTCTTATGGATTTGGACTTAGACTGTTCCGATTCTGATGAAAAATATTTTGTTGCTTTAGAATATTTGGCAAATCAGAGACAACCACGAGAAGTAAAACTGCTTGAACAGTATTTAAACTGTTAAATATGCAATTTAAAAGTAAAAAATGGAACTTTTATTTAATTTTTTACCCTACCCTATAACAAAATTTGTATAGCTTTTCTATAAAAATAACTTTTACTATTTTCTATATAGAGGTTTCTTTAGACCAGAACTGTTAGTCTATGGCCTTGACCTTGCCTTCAGACCAAAAACTAAGACCTTGGTCACGAAACTTTTAGCCTTGGCCTTGACCTTGATTATTTGACCTAGGTCTTTATAATATAATACATAAAAACAAAAGAATTAAAAATTTTATTCTTTTTTTTTTTAATCATTCTTTATTTTGTAAAATTGTGTTGATATAAATATAGAAAATCTATACACATTTTAAATTATACAATCTATAAAAATAGAAACACATATTATAAAATCTATACACATAAAAAATCTATACACACAGAAAAATTAGGAAAAACTGCATAAATAAACTTTTTTAAAATATGACTTTTAATATGAAAGAATTATTCACTAACTCAAATTCTTATAACGAAAATTTATATAGTCACAAATAAACATTTAAACAGAAAACTCTTTTGATGCTTTCTGATTAGAATTTTATCCACAATAAGTTTTGACGTGCTTTCATACCATACACAATATGAGAAACTTTAGAAACAAGTTATACATACAAGAATAATCTTTGATGTATTTTGTTATCTGACTTTATCAAAACTATTTGAACTCATACCATATTCGAGCATGAAATGTAATTTGTAGAACTTTATTAATTCTGTCTATAGTTTAACCACATTTTTATTAATTCGAATCTCAAATAATCTCTGCATAAATTTTAAATAGAGAAATTTCTTTTGCCGGTACGTTTTGTTTAAAACTAAAGTTGATCTGATTTTTGGATCAATAAATAGTTCTAATAAATCTAGCATCAGTGCATTATTCTAATTAGCTTTATGATAAAATTTGGAAATTTTCATACATTTCAAATTCCTGATGGTTTTCTTTCAGACAGCAATGCCTAATTGAAAATTTGTAAAGTTAATCTAAAAAGTTAAATCATTAGTAATTTTCATTCATGAAAACTTCAGTACATACATCGACTGACAAATAGCCTGACTCGCAGTGGAGTGATGCTACATCGACTAAGGGTTTGGGATGGGGAAGCGATTGTTCTATTCATCATTCTTCGTTTTTTCTTCTTTTTCGAAAAAAAAAACGGTATAGCTTAAGGTAAGCAAATGCTTATCAAAACACGCTTTAGTAAGTGTATATATATATATATATATATATATATATTTATATATATATATATATATATATATATATATATATATATATATATATATATATATATATATATATATATATATATATATATATAAACAATGAGGCAAAAGCAATTTTATACCTTTTATATATATATATATATATATATATATATATATATATATATATATACATATATATATATATATATATATATATATATATATATATATATATATATATATATATATATATATATATATATATATATATATATATATATATATATATATATATATATATATATATATATATATATATATATATATATATATATATATAAAAGGTATAAAATTGCTTTTGCCTCATTGTTTTTTATTAACTTTCAAATTTTCAGTGATCAAAATAAACCAAATAAAATATATTCTGAATAAAGTTGACACATCAAGGTTATTTACAAATAGTAATAAGTAGTAATATGAAATAAACGCATGTAAAATTCAATACTAATAAAATGATGTTAATATTATTAGCATCATTTTATTATTATTGAAGTATTATTAATAATAATTATAATGCAAGTAAAGTTAATAAAAATAAAAGTTGTAATAACAGCGATTAAAAGTAATAGTAAAGATTATAAAAAGTATACACTATACTATTTTAATAATAGCAACAAAAATAACAGTAAAAATAACAACAACAATAATAATTACAATAATAAGAACAACATTAATATAACAAAAACAGTAATATAAAAAAAAAACTATGACAATATTAACAACAGTAAGAATAATAATATTTATAATGATAAAAGTATAATAATAATAATATTTACAATTATAGTGATGAAGAAAAAATATTTCAGTTTAAGAAAGATTAAAATAATAGTTAACTGGTTATTTATTAACTGATTATTTATTAACTTAATAATTAACTGGCTATTTATAACTATTTTTAAGAAAAATATTGCTTATAAATCTTATACTTTCCTTCAACTTATCATCTATAACCCTAACTCTGAGCTTCTATTTTAAATAGATAAATAGTATTTATTTTTTTTTTTCTATTTTCTGTTGTGTTTTAATATTTTTTGTTAAATTTAATAAGTTTAACAAAAAATATTTAATCACAACAGAAAAGAAAAAATTAGAGAAAAAGAAGCTCAGAATTAGGGTTATAAATAATATGTTGAATGAAAGTACAAAATTTATAAGCAATGTTTTTCTAAAAAGTAGTTAATGAGAGCAGTTTTAAATTTTGAGAATGAAATACATTTTTTACATAATAAATTCAGTAAAAAATATTAACAAAGAAATCGCTTTAAATTGAAATTAACCCAGAAATGTGCACTAAATTAAAATTAATGAACTTGTAATAAGTTTTCAACTCGAGGTAAGTACTTAGAAAAGTTCTAAACCTCAGGTTTCTACAACTAAATATTCATCTCGGGATCTTCAACAGAAATTTCCGTAGGTCGCTATTCCGGAACATTTAACGACTGTAAACGCTCGGCTGTAGAAATTTATCGACGGTAATTTTGAAAAAACTTATATACCATTGAAACAAATCATTTACGCCGATAAAATTTACAGCCGCTAGCATTTTTCGCCGATAAAAAGTTTTATAACATTGACCCCTGGTCGCTAAAGCAAAAACTTTTTTTAATTTCATTTTTTTAATTTCAATTAAAAAATGAAATTAAAAAAAACTGAATAGAGGTTGTACCTTGAAGGTACAACCTCTATTCAGTATGCAAATAGAGTTTTACCATCCATAGACGATAATTTAGCAATGTAATAACTAATTGTATGTAAACAATATTTAAAAGCAATGGTCACACACATCACAATCTCTTTACAGACAGACAGACTCTTTAGCAATGATTCCATGCATTAAAAATAGAAGATTACTTAGGTATAAGAGAAATCATTTATCAACATAAACCAACATAGAATTTGGTAACGACATTAAAGTGTTGTCAGGGTTACAGCTTTGGCGTACATTGTCCTAACCTTTATCAAAGTTGCAAAGATATTTTCATAAAAAGTTTTTTGAAAGTGATTTTATTCATAATATATTTGTGTTTCTTAAAATTAAGTTTATCTATGATGGTAGGGTTGCTTTAAATCCTGATCAAAAAGTGCTAATAATGTTGATATGCGTCAATTATTACACACTAAGCATTTCTATAATTTAGGGTTGGTGTTGGACAAACAATGATGGAGGCGGATCTTACAAACGTTGCTCTAAAGATAACGAATGCCATAATATGAAATGTTATATGGAGAAACCCTACGGTTGTTGGGAAAACCAATGCCATAAATACGTAAAAGGAGTAAGGTTTTAATTTTTACTTATTATACATTATAGGCTCTTATAAATAACTTTTATTATCTTGTAGGGCTATTGTTTTACAAGGCGTAAACAAACGGAAACCTATATCGCGACTTGTGAAACGGACAGCGATTGCGTTGGTATGACAGAATGTGCAAAACCAAGGACACACTTAATAGGGTGATTCAGTATCAAGAAAACTTCGTTCAAATTCAAAGAAAATTATTTATAAACAACTAAATTAATTTCATAAATAAGATATATAAGAAAAGTTAAATATCTATAGTTTTAGCAATTGTTATTTAAATGTTTCCCTTAAATATAGAAACTATAAAGAGAATCAACAAGTAAAAAATTAGTTATGGAACTTGATATTTATTTTTAGTTAGTTATTCCACTAGTCTAGTCAGTCTAACTTCTTGGCAATTTATGAGATTCTTGGGAACAACTTGCTGCACTAAATATCAATGGCAAAATGCACTTGTTAGGCACGCTTTTTTTTATCCTTGTCTTTACATGACAATCAATATAAAAAAATTCAATTGTTTGTTGACTGTGATACAAAATCAAATGTATAGACATTTGGGATTTGACGCAAATGAATAAATTGTAGCATTAAAAAAGTTAACAAAAACCGGCATTAAAACATTAGAAAGTTAGATTGTTAAAAGAATCAGCCATGTTGTAGAATTAGTTTTAATATACCTAGATTCTCCAATTTGTTAATAGAAACAATGTTCTAAAGCTAAAAATAAGTCGTTTTTTGAAAAAAAATTACTTATAATGAAGAAGGAGGAATAAATACAATATATATCCTCTTACTTTTTAAGTTAAAAGAGGTTAGGTTTCTTATCCCATTGATAAACCTTTTGTCCCCACCCTTTTGAATTTTAAAATTTATTTTAATGTTTAAATTTCTACATGATCCTTCACATCAATCAAACTTTTTGCATAAGTTAAAAATTGGTTTTAATTTGATTGAGTATGCAAATATGATGGAGAAATGATAAGCGTTGCGAATTCTGTCCTCTGAAAAAAATACATATGGTACATATTTGCACCAGTTTTAAATGAAACAACTTAATTCACAACACACTCCCCGAGTTAAAGCTGAGACTTCGGCTTTAATCAGCCATCTCGTTTTCCATGATGCAACAGATTTTGTATCAAGTTTAATTTATCTCGGTACTCTTTTTATGGTATCAAATTCTTCTCGGATTGCCACTTTTTTTTTTCCGATTAATTTACCTTTCAGCCTCACATGTTGTTGTTCTTACATAGCATGTACATATTTGTTTATCCAACTTTTTCGCAGATGGGTCTTACAGTTTTTAACAAACTTTGCTCTTCCTATTTATGTATTGGGCATTTCCATTTCTGTGCGTGATTTTTTATTTTTCTTTGTTTTAGCAATTAAAAGCTGGGACTTCATGCAATATGCATACTATTTTGATTTTCTTAAAGAACAATTATTACAAATATTTTTGTCATATTTTAGGCTATCTGAATAAATTAAATATACATATTTTTACAATTTTATTTTTTTGAGTAATAATATCGCTACATTTTGACAAATATAAAATAATTTTCAAAACGCCATGCTCTAGCTAGAAATAATTGATGACTGCCATTTCTTATCAAAAATATATTAAATATGAGTCGTAGAAGTATATAATATTTCACTTGAAATACTCACAAGCAATTTGTTTTCATAAAAATAACTACATGAAATTGACAAAATCGCAACATCCGTGCGTGACTTCCGTGCGTGATCATTCATAAACTGCACTTAAACGATTGCTGTGACTCTATGATTCATAGTGCAAACCTGTAATTTTCTGGAAATCTTTACTTATGTTTAAAATATTATTTTAAAAAAAAGTACTCTGGTGAAACTTATATTTTCCGAGAACATTTTAGTTTCATAATAAACTTTTGTTTATTTTTTGCAGCTTTTTTCTAAAGTCTTGGTAGAACATTGTTTCATTGTTAGTATCTGACAATCCAAATACTTCAAGAAAACGCATTCGCTTGAACTCATCACAACTAGTGTTCAATAAAAAATTGCTTTCAATACCAGAAATTAATTTCATTTGTCTCCCACTGTCATCCCAACATAGTTAGTTCACCTCCAGTATCTTTATTGAGAAACACCGATTTTATTCCTTGATAATCAACAGCGCCAAGTATTACTTAAACAGGTTGCATTTTATCACTTCCTTCACATTGCTAAATTTGAGTCCCATCAGTTTCACTAATTACTTTTTAACCACCTTAATCATCCTATTTAGTGAGAAGGTTGTTATTTCTTTATTTGCAATGATGCATTTAATCTTGATGCGAAATTCCGGTGTCATTATTGATACTTGATCGTAAAAATATACCTTTCCACACGCTTGTCACCATTCCATATAGTTATTCAATGATTTTATGTTCCCTTTGTGTAGGTTTCAACTTTAGTTTATTTATCAAGTTTGTACACATATAAAAACTTCCATCAACCGAATTTAACAATATCCTTGCTTTTTCACCATATACTTTTGCGATTACAGTCGGTTGAATAGTTGAATCGGTTTTTGTTAAAAGAGCCAAAGTCAAGTTTTGAAAATGAGTTTATTATGCTTTAATATTGTTTGAAGATAGATTTAATAATATGTGTTAAAAGGGAGTTTCTAAATGTATCCATAACTACACAATAAACAAGCAAACATCATAGTGTCTGTAAAAATCTCTGTTAATAGAAAGTATTATTTGTATTACTCCAAAAATTTGTTTTTCTGACTTACGAACTTTTAACGAAAACCGATTCAGTTGTACTTGCATTAAACATCTTTTCCATGGTTTCATTTGTTTTTTCTATTATATTGTCTATTGTTTCACTCACATTTTTACTTATTGACGTATGACGTTTTTTTTATTATGCCTAGTGCATCCTTCTGATTAATATTTTGCCGCGGAATTTCCATAACCAATAGAGTTGTAACATAATCTTTTAATTAAATAATTATTTTAAATTTGTTCTTAATAATGATATTTTTTTTGGGCTTTGTTATCTGATAATATGAATACGCTAGTCGAGTTACGTCATTTTCTAGGCTTTTCTATTTTAAAGTAGTTTCTTGGCTTTTCTATACGCGGTTTTTTAATTTTATTTACTAACAACGCGTATTACGGGTTGCTTACTGCTAGTTTGTATTATTATCAATATTATTATTGCTATTATATGATTGTAAATTTGGAAAAAAGAAAATAAATATTTTTTTTTCTTTTTTTTTTTAATTATTGAAATCTACTTGCGTCTAACAACGTTTAGCACTTTTTACAACCTTCGCTATAGTGATTTTTTAACCCACTGTATATTTATCCCTTAAATAACACTTGTCATCGTTAATTTATCATAATTACCACCATTGTATTGTTTAAATAGAGTGCTTTGGTTTTCATAAGTGCTTGACTGTGCGTTTGCGTTCTTTTTATTATATTTTATTTGTTCAATGTTGAAATCAAAGTTCAATGGATTTTTTTCAATGGATTTATTTAACTTTTTGGCAAGTAGCTCCCCATTCCCCATCCAGTTCCCATTCTCCCTCCCCATCATCTTTTTGTGTGAGTATTTCATGAACTGTTCCAAGTTTATTTAAAAAAAAAGTTTTTTTAAAAAAAAGTTTATTAATGAAAATTTGAGCAGTTTTTCCATCAATTTTTATTGTTCCTACTTTTCGGTTAGCAGACGATCCCATGGCTCAAAAGGAGGTGAATAATTTCGTTTGCCGTAGAGTTTTTCCCATTGGTAGGTTTTTTCGGAAGCCGTTGAGTTTATACATAAAAGTAAACAAGTAAATTGACACGAGGTTAAAGTAAATATTAGTATGGATCTATTTTCAGTTTTTTATGACGACAATTTAAGCCTGAACAGTTCTGAAGAAAGCACTGAGGAAAGTGGAATTCTACAAGGTTATTTATTCTGTATGGATTAATTTGTTAAAAGTTGCGTCAAGATGGTAATTAGTGATTTAAATCCGTCACAATACAATAATTTGTGAGGAATTTAAATACCTCAATTCAACGATTATAATACATCGCAGCAAGTTTATTCAATCAAAAATAACTAAAATAAAAATATTCAAGTTTGAAAAGAAAAATTTGAATACAACTCTAGATTAGAATTAAATTTTTACTTTAGAAATTGTCGAAGAGGATTGGAAAATCACAGATATTGACTTTTTGCCAGTAAATTGCATTGATAATGGTTTGTTTCTAATTTGCTAAATAAGTATAAGAAAATTAGGATTTTCTTTAATTTTTAAATCTTTTAAAGTGTTTATTATAAAAACAAAATTTTATTAAGGTTTACCCTTTTTTTTTCAAGAATATGTTATACTGTTGTCATTGTGATTTCAAAACTGTTGTTAAATCTATTTGTAAACATTTGTTATAGGAGACAAAACCAAACTTGTTTATCATTGTAAATCACACGAAGAAGCATTGCATTGTATCAAAAAATATGAATTAAGAACAACAACACGATTTGTGGTGTATTATGCTAATAAAAATTTTGGTAACACAGGTTAGCTGATTGCCAAGTGTTCTTACTTTTTGAATTCTTTGCAGGATTTTCAAATAATTTTTTGCATTAAGTTACTAACTCAATATTTTTTATTTTAGATACAATTACAACGAATCATAGTGTACTTTGGGAAGATTCTGCTAATCCTTATTCAGGAATACCTTATATTGTTATTTCAAATAAAGTTTTAGATTGTCACCATGGGTTTCACAGAAATGTTTCAAAAAAAAATTATTACAAAAAAAATAAAAAAAGACATGATGTAACTAAAAATATCTTTAATTTTTGCTACAACTTTATTCTTGAGTTTTGATTTATATCATTCTTTTATTCTTAACACTTTAAAATATAATTTTATAAGTAAAATCTCTGGATTTAAATTTTATTGTAGATGGATGATCATTGCTTTCAAAAAAACTATTTAATTTTACAAGATAGTAAAAAGTTTATGTGTCCTGCCAAAATAGCTATGAAGGAAATAATTCACTTTCCTGATTTTAAGGTATAAATATTTTATCAAAAATAATTTTTCAAAGGTTAAAGAAGTAAAGTATAAATCTTCAAACAGTTGTTAAACATAGTTTCATTTATACATTTAGATATCAGAAAAAACTGAGTGGCGCAAAAAAAACGCATCAAAACTTTTGAGACAAAAAAAAAAACTTCACCATTAAATGAAATCCAACATACAAGAACAATTGTAGTTTCCATTGATGATTTGTCCTGTCATGATAAACAACCTGTTGGACAGGTTAATATTGATATACAGTTGCAAAAAATTAATAAATTAAATTATGAAAAAAGAATTGTATCTGTTTTATGGTTTTATATTTTATTGTAAAATTTATTTAGGCTGACTTGATTTCTCAAATGATTGATCCTCAAATTTCTAAAAAAATAGAAGAATATGTTAAAGAAGGAATATGCAACATTAGAGAAATAAAACGTCTTCTTCGACTATTTGTTAAGGATATATTTGAAAAAGAAAATCTTCCTGTTAATACTATAAGATCACATATAGTTAAAATGAAGCAAAAGTTGAGGTAAATTTTATATTATTCTAACTTGATGTAACCAAGAAACCATTAGCATTGCTAAAAATCCCTGTTGCAGTCAGTATTCCTTCAACTGCCTCCTTTATAAGAACAACAATGTATAATCTACCAGATTGTATTTATATCCACCAGTTCGTATTTTCCCTCATTTGCTTGTCCTCCACCTGCATATTGGTAAATTTTTAGCTTTCATAATTCATGTTTCACTACCAAATATCATAACAAACTTTACTACATCTTCCATGATACTGGATATTTTGTTGCTAAGTTAAAACAGAGTTAACAAAAGTAGATCAAAATAATGTCTTAATACTTACACTTATGTTTTATATAGATAGTTTAGTGCTAATTTGTTATACTTTAATTTTAAAGATATTCCATGATTGATCAAGAATGTCTTTTGAAAAAGTGTCATGAATGGAAAAAAATTGATCCACATATTAAAGTGTTAATTCGACCAAAATGTGAAGTTACAGACAATGAAATTTGTAAAAACAATTCTACATTTTTATTTTTTTATCAATCACAGTGGCAACAAGACCTTCTTTTGCGATACGGAAATGAGATCATTCTTTTTGATGCTACTTACATAACTACAAGATATGCTCTTCCATTATTTTTTTTAACAGTAAAGACTAACATAGATTACCAAATAGTAGCCACTTTTGTCACTGAAAATGAAACAAAAAAAGCTATTACTGAAGCACTAAATGTTATAAAGAGTTGGAATGCATTGTTTCAGCCTTCGTTTTGTATGACAGATTATTGCAACGAAAAAATCGAGTCCTTGGAAACTGTTTTTCCAGGTGAATGATAACTGCATTTTCAAAATCATCTTTTATTTTAAATACTAATATAATTAATATAATTTAAAAACAGATTTTTGAAAATTGGTTAGTGTGTCCCTTAGATTTGCAATGCTTCATATAAAGTATATACATATAAAACATAAGCGTTACTATATTTAAAAATTTTTTAAAATATATAAAAAAAAATAGTTTAGAGTTTCCTAATTTATCTATTCCGAAAAGTTGTCGTGTCATTATATGCGATTTCCACAGAGAGCAGGCCTGGGATCGATGGCTTTCCAAATTAACAAATGGGTGTTCTGATTATAAAGGTAACATAATATCGATGTTATGATGTGTTGCAAGAGCGCAAAATCAGGATGAGGAAGATGCAGCTATTGAGAAGCTGCAGTCCTCCAATTTTTGGTTCGATGACAAGTTTCATAAATTTAAGAAGTACATAACAAATTATTGGTTGTGCAACAAAGAAGTAAGTTTTTTTTTTTCTACATAGTTACCATAATTTCCTAATTGTTATAATAGATATAAAACAGTTGCATCAACTTTTAAGAAATTTATTAAAAACATTTAAAAAATTTTTAAAGCTTCATACGGTAGTACTCTTTATCTTTTCCTTATAAAAGTTTTACAGAAAGCGTTTACAAAATTAGGAATAAAGTTTAGAAGAGTGTATAACCTTTTTTAATTTTAACATTAATGTAGCTCTGTTTGCTCAGGGTTGAAGTTGATATAAATATTTTATAAATGAGAAACTTTTTTCTTTTTTTTTCTAATTAAGAAATGGATATGGGCCTATCGTCAGGATCGTTTATTAATTAATCTAAATACCAACAATGGTCTTGAAAGACAAAATGAATCTTTTAAGTATTCTTATCTTCAACGCCACAAAAACTCATCTCTTACTGGAATGCTAACCTTATTAATTGAAGAGTTTTTTGCTGATAAATTTGAACAGTAAGTATATACTTTTTTAATACTCTGTATATGACTTTATAGTTGTAAAATGGTTTTATATATATATATATATATATATATATATATATATATATATATATATATATATATATATATATATATATATATATATATATATATATATATATATATATATATATATATATATATATATATGTAGTCAAATTGTGGGGACCCTTCCCATGGATCAATTTTGAAAAATTATATTTTTTAAAGCAATTTTATGCATAAGAATTGAATAAAAATTCAATGTTACTTCTTTTAATAATGGGTCAATTAAACAACTGCATTTTTCAAACATGTTGATTTTTAGCATTTTTTGCTCTTCAATAAGGTCTTTTTCAGCGCTTTTAGTGTTTACAGTCAGAATGTAATGTTTAAAGCAGCTACAGAATCGTCTAAAAAAATGAGTTAGTTTTGTTTCTCTTTTATGCAACCATATAAGGTTGTCTATCTCAATATATGACGTTAAGCAGCATTTGTTATCTTTCAATAATGCCAGAGCATAAAAAATAAAGTCTTTCTCCTTGTAGGATTTGTTGATCAGCTCTTAGTTAAAAAAAAAATGTTTGTTGAAATTACCTTTATAATTTCTACAAAAGGTTTAAATTTGATAATTTTTTAAAATTGTACCTGAATGAGTTTCACAGCTTTCTCACTGCAATCATTAACTACTTCCAGATTTTTGACAAATTGTTTAAACTCCATATAATAATCATTCAGGTTCCATATCTCAACTGGGGTCTTTAACCACTGTAACTCTGCCTTCCCCATGCTTCAAGAAATGAAATATGAACCAACTCTGTTCATTTATCAGTGAAACCAAGCTAGGAGGATTATCCTGACAAAAATCCAGATTATTCAACAATTCAAAATCCACCTGCTGTCTGTGTACAACAAAATTCTCAAGCCTTGGCATGGAATACAGTTTCTTGGCAATCTTGTCACAATCATGGACCTCTTTATCAGCTAAACCCATTACAACAGCGGTAGGATCAATGTACCAGGTGTGTTTCTTCAGTGAGTCAATAACAGGTTTTGCCAGCTAAGGTTTGACATCCGAGTACTTTATTATCTGCAACAGAGCTTTCATATTCTAAGAAATAATCTTAAGATTTAGCAAAATACTTAAAAGAATAATTTTTATTTATTATTTATTACATTTTGAATAATAAGAAAATAAAAATTACAGTAAAAAAAACCGGAGAGGGAGCAATTGCTGGAATTTCCGCTCTGAGAAACCATTCAGTGTAAAACACTGCAGTGAAGAAAGCCATATCTTTGATTTCTTTCTTCTCATGGGCTTTGAATTTGGGAATGTTATCCATTAGAAGGAACATCTTCATAAAGTATATTCCTTTCATCAAAAACCGAGCATGACTTACAGGTCCAGGTTTTCGGAGACTGTACTGCACATCTCCAGATTGTACCATTACTATGAGTTCCGCTAACTCAAGATAATCACACCTGCATCCATTCTAAATTTAAATACTTATTTTTATAATAAGCAATTAATTAAATTGAATGTTTACATTGCGTTTTCACTTTTTGCAACATCTTAAAAAGTCATAAAAAATTTAAGATTCATTCTTTACATTTTCAGTTTGATATCTGATACTAATCATTTGTTTATTGTGCATAGCGCCAGGAGCTATGCACATTAAATAAGTTATTATTATTCTAAGCTGTGATTTACCGGATAATGGATTTTCAGCTGTTTAAACTACTTTAAACAAACTTAAACTTAATTTCATAATTTAAAGTACTGACCTTCTTCATCTTTATAACGTTTTCAGAGAACTCCAAAGCTTTCTTGAATTGATCCTGCAACCATTGTCAGTAATATCCTCAATCTTGATTCTGTTTAGTACAGTAGAATCATGATCCAAAGAGTTCCGAACAAGCTTAAGCTTTTTAAAAAGAGGATTGTCTGGTCCATTTGTGTTACTGCTTGGATAGATGTTCCAACAGTGAACAATGTGTCTTTCATACACATGATGTCTGCATGCTAATAGAAGTAGAGGCCTGTAGCTAGATTATTGCATACTCCTTTCTGTTTACCAGTGTTAGAATTAGTAGTATCAAAAACACATCCGTGAAACTTGTCCATAACCTTAATTGGTCAAGAAGTTCCATGATTGCTGTTTCCTGCTCCTCTCCTGTACTTGAAGTTAGAGGTGGAATACCAAGTAGCTTTGTCTGTCCTTTTATCCTAATTAATACAGCAAGTCTGTGATATTGCAATTCTTTCCTATCTGTTCTTTAACAATCTTTAACAATTCTTTAACAATCTTGCTATCAAAGTGAGAATTATGGGGGATACTGATGACTGCGCAAGAGTAGAAAATCTGAAGAAAATCCCAGAAAATCCTGAAGAAAATTTTTTCTCGACGTATTTCATGGACCATTCCTGTGACGACTCTTCTTTAACATGTTGTAATAAGTCACTGTGCTCTCAAAATTCACCCTATACATAGCAAATAAAAAGCTTAAGTGAATTCCCATTTTAATAAGATACGTGCCTTAAACATTTAATTTTAAATTAATACTTTATATACAATGTAAAGAACATAATAAAATAACATAAATGTTTCTACTGTGTAAATGTAAATAGTATTTGAATTAAAAGTTAAAAATGCAGTACTTTTTTTTTAACATAAAAAACGAATTTGTAAGGTTTGCCTTATATTGTTCATTGTAAATAGAGGGAATCCAGCTAGATTCCATGTCCCAACCAATTTAGACATTATACAGCAGTGGGTGTTCTCTGCAGGACATTGGAGCTCAAAAGAATTCATCTTGAATTGGCACATGATTAAATGTATTTGCTCGACGTTTGGATTTAGCTTTCTATGATGTAGGTAATACTGCAGAACAACTTTTCGATTTGGAAGTTTATTGCTTGGGAGAGTCTCGCTAGTTTTCTTCTCAAGAAATATTTCTGATGTTTTTCTAGTATGTTTTACCTTTTTCTTTGGAGGCATTTTTTTTTATTTTTTTACTATTTGAAAATATATTTAAATAGATATAAAATATAGGTATTTACTGAAAATATAGCTATAATAACATTGCTAAACATCAAGTATTAAAGAAAGACAACCTTATACGGACACATTAAAGAAGGTCAACCTTAACAACGACTTTTTTTAGACGATTCTGTAGCTGATTTAAACACCTGAAGAACAAAAAAAGGTAAAAAATCAATTATTCAAATAAGTAAAGCTTAGCATACGATTTTAATTTAATTCTTATGCATAAAATTGCCTAAAATAATTTAATTTTTTAAAATTGATCCATGGGAAGGGTCTTCGCAATTTAACTGAAAAAAAGGTCAAAAATAGCCTAAAAATGAATTTTGGGCCCATTGCGCAGACAGATAGGGTGGTCCAAATGTGATAAAATTTTTTTTTTTTAGTAATATCAATGGTGGGGCACCATATGAAAAGCAATGTTAATTGAAATTTTTAAGTCATTTTTTTGAAACACCCTAATATATATATATATATATATATATATATATATATATATATATATATATATATATATATATATATATATATATATATATATATATATATATACTCAATCCATTTTTTTTTTTACATAATCAATCTCTTGCGCAAAAAAAAAAACTCAATAATGTCATGTACTAAAACCATTAAGAATAAAGCATGCTTAAATAAATTATCAAGTCTGTAGATTGCGGCATATATTATACTGACTTTTAGGCCTACAATAAAATGGAGAGACTAAAATTAAAAAGTTTGTTTTTCTTGGTATTCATTTATTCTTTTGTTTTAATCAAAAAAATTTAACCCAAACATTTTTTTTTTTGTCATTTTCTTTAATACGAGCACAACATGTCACGGAGGTTTGGGATCCCTTTAATGTAAAAATGTGCACTTGTAATTTTTAAAAAAAGAAGAAAAAAAGGAATAATTAAAGAAAAGGTTGCTGCCCCATAAAGCCCTCACAACTTCTTGTTTTTGTATGACATCATCCATGTGCGTCTAATGCTGCATTTATTTATGTATGTGTATATATTTATTTATATATATTAGGGCCCTGCGATTCACCTTTTATGGTATCGAATCGAATCACGAATCGAAGCAGGTATCGATTCGCAAATCGAATCGAATCTCAAATCAAGTCAGCACTTTGAGCATACCTATGTTTTAGTTAAACTTAGATTTCCTCAAAATGCTGATTGGACTTGTGATTCAATTCGATTTAAAAAAGGCTGATTCGCAGGGCCCTATTTTATATATATATATATATATATATATATATATATATATATATATATATATATATATATATATATATATATATATATATATATATATATATATATACATATATATATATATATATATATATATATATATATATATATATATATATATATATATATATATATATATATATATATATATATATATATATATATATACATATATATATATATATATATATATATATATATATACAGTGTGCCAAAAAAAAATGCAGCAAACAATTTCTCTTCAAATTTTTAATTTTTGGATCACATTGTAATATAAAAAAACATAACGGGATAAAACTGGGTGAAATAAAAATCCCGTTATGTTTAGGAAACAAATGAGTGGTATGGGTAGTTTTAATTGTTGTTGAACATTTTAAAGTTAGTAGCTTTCGTATATAGTCGCAAAAAAATAATTGCAGCGTAGTATAAAAACGTAAGTTTATTTACTTTTTTTTAAAGTTTCGTGATCTCTTACATTGTAATTTATTTAAAAATAGATAAAAAATACAAAATTAAATAAAAAATTAAGCAAAGGGAGATCGACACTGGACTGTAGCCCAACGTAATTTAGCTGTGGACCTAATAAAACAGGGTAAGACATATCGTGAGGTTGAGGCAGAGACTGGCATTCCCAACTGCACTGTTTCCAGAATAATGGGGAGATACAAAAAGTATACAGCTTCTTTGGGAGGACGGGGTAGAAAAAGAAAGACGAATACTTCCATTGACCATAATATCGTAATACAAATCAAAAAGAATCGAAAATGAGCAAAACATAAAGATCACTCCTCAAACAATACCTAACAGGATAAAGGAAGCTGGTTTCCAAGGAAGACATGTTCATAAAAAGCCATATTTGACGAAGAATCATATGAAACGCCAATTGGATTTTGCTAAAAAGTACAGAAACATGGATATTAATTTCTGGATAAAGATTTTATGGAATGATGAATTTAAATTCAATCTGAAGTTATCTGATGGAGCTAAAAAAGTTTGGCGCAAGAAAGGAGAGGCGTATAAATTGAGCTGTATGAAAGGCACAGTAAAGTTTGGCGGTGGCAATATTATGGTTTGGGGATCTATGGTTTGGAAAGGAGTCGGAAAACTGGCATTTATTGACTCAAAAATGGATGCTCTATTATACAGAGAGATTCTCAAAAATTATCTCAAGTCTTCAGCCCGAAAATTGCGACTATGCAATAGTTATATTTTCCAGCAAGGCAACGACCGCTAAAGCCCGGACTTAAACCCCATCGAATATTATTGGGCTATTCTGGACTGAAAAATTGGAGATCGGTCACTCAGAAAGAAAGAGGAGCTTAAAGAGGCTGTGACAGCGGCATGGGCGAAAGTTATGCCAGAAGAAACAAAAAGTTTGGTTGAATCAATGCCAAGACGATGTGAAGCTGTTATCCAGGCTAAAGATGGACCCACCAAATACTAAAATGTGATTTATTAATACTAAAATGTGATTTATAATTAAGTTCCTTCAGAGAAAAAATTTGCTGCAATTTTTATATTGCACTTTAAATCAAAGTCAATTTACAATTATTAAATATTTAAAAAAATGTGATCATGGAATTTATAAAATGGAAATAAAATATTGAACTAAATTTATTTCTTCTTTATTTATAGTATTTCTCTCCCAAAAAAAGTATTTATTACTATTTTATTTAACATGTATACATATATACAGTAGTGCTCAAAAGTTTAGCAAGCAGCAGAATTAAATTTACTTTTTTCCATATATGTTATTTTTTCAGTTAATAAAACTTTGAAAAAAAGTTTTCTTCTATTTATCAATTAACTGGATATACCCAGATAGAATAAGACAGAAAGTTAAAAAAAGTTTGCTAAGGCACATTCTTTTTTTTAAGTACATACATTAAGCGGTATTTTAAGCTTAAAAAAAGCTGCTCATAAGTTTAGCACGCTAGCTCTTCTTAAAGCTTTTAAGGAGAGCTTTTATAAATTTATTGCGGTAAAAGTTACATCATAGTAAATTAAACTCTACTTTTTAATGAAATATTACAAAAATATATTTAAAGTAGTATGTAGTTTTTTAAAAGTTTGTTTAAAATTTATTTCTCTTTTTTGCTTAATTCTAAATTATAATAATAATAGAAGTCTGAAAATTTCCCATGGGAAGAAAAACAATAAGTCAAGAAATCAAACAGCATATTATTGGCCTTAATATAAGAGGTCACTCTAACATTGAAATATCTCGAATTTTAAAGTGTGTTTCACCATCATGTGTAAGTAGAACTATTGCTAAGTTTAATGAAACTAGTAGTATTGCTGGCACCACAATGAAAAGTATATTAGTTGCTGTACTGTACCTAAACTACAAGGTGGAGGTGTTGTAATTGGTATTTGGGGCTGCATCACATATGATGGCCCAGGTCTACACATGCTATACAACTGTCATATGGACCAACATAGATACATCGACATCCTTTAAAATTATTTAATGCCTACCAATGGGCTTTTTTTTGGTAACTAGCCAGAGTGGATATTTAAACAAGACATTTTTGTGTTTAAAATAACTAAAAAATTTTATCTTTTTTTCTATTTTTTACGTTGTAAAGAAAATTTTTTTATTAATTCTGCTGCGTGCTAAACCTTTGACCACTATTGTATATATATATATATATATATATATATATATATATATATATATATATATATATATATATATATATATATATATATATATATATGATATATATATATATATATATATATATACATATATATATATATGTGTATAATATATATGTATATGTATATATGTATAATATATATGTATAATATATATGTATATATATATATATGTGTATACTAAAAATTTTTATCTTTTTTTCTATTTTTTACGTTGTAAAGAAAATTTTTTTATTAATTCTGCTGCGCGCTAAACCTTTGACCACTATTGTATATATATATATATATATATATATATATATATATATATATATATATATATATATATATATATATATATATATATATATATATATATATATATATATATATATATATATATATATATATATATATATATACATATATATATATATGTGTATGTATATATATATATATATATATATATATATATATATATATATATATATATACATATATATATATATATACACATATATGTATATATGTATATATATATATATATACATATATATATATATATATATATATATATATATATATATATACATATATACATATATATATATATATATATATATATATATATATATATATATATATATATATATATATATATATATATATATATATATATATATATATGTATATATGTATATATATTTGTATGATGTTTTTAATTATTAGGGCTGTGTATATCTGTGTGTATGTATATATATATATATGTATATATATATATATATATATATATATATATATATATATATATATATATATATATATATATATATATATATATATATATATATATATATACACATATATATATATATATGTGTATATATATATATATATATATATACATATATATATATATATATATATATATATATATATATATATATATATATATATATATATATATATATATATATATGTATATATATACATATTTATATATTTATATTCTTATATATTTATATATATATATATATATATATATATATATATATATATATATATATATATATATATATATATATATATATATATACATATATATATATATACACATATTTATATATTTCTTTTTTTAGTTATTTAGAGTCGAACTAAAAAATGAGTTGTGAATATAAACGCTACAGTGCTAGTGTACCTGAATACCTGCTTAATCGACCACGTCATTTTGTCAAACATTGTTTAAAGAAGCAAGATTTAGCTAACAGTGTTGATATAAATGGAGTAAAAATTAAGAATTATGGAATTTTTTTAATAAATAGTTTTTCAGATAAACATAAAAGTTACACTGTTTCTTTTAGTGATAAAAATAAAATGCCAAAATGTACCTGTAATGACTGGTTGCAATCGGGTTACCTTTGTAAACATTTTTTTTTTAGTATTTCGAAAGTTTCCACAAACATGGTCATGGGATTCTTTATCATTATTATACAGGCAATCTCCATTTTTAAATTTGGACATAAATAAAAAAGACATTACTGTTAATGATTCAGATAAATCCCAGCATAATGAAAAAAATATTTCAGAATATACTAACAATATTACTGATTGTACTTACAATGTTTCTACTAATACAGAATTAAACCATTTGAATGGAAGTAAAAGAAAAGTAGTTAATACTGCCTCTGAAGTTCGTGAAAAGCTCACAACTATTCGAAATTTAACATTTGATTTTGATGAAACTTCAGAAGAAATTTTAAATCTGCATATAACATTATGACTTTTTGACAGTAATATATGAAAAAGTTTTTAAAGTTGTAAAAGCTAAAGCTATAAATAAAGATTTTCAATCATCAGACACAAGACTTTTATATAAAAGTCTTGTGTCTGATGATTGAACATGTAAATCCCAAAGGTACAGGTAAATCCCAAAGTTTAACAACATTTTTTGTTTTATTATATGAAAATGAGGATAAATCATCTACACCAAGATATACACAATTTTTCGTCTCTTTAATCTTTATTTTAACTGGTCACTTTTGCTGTCTTCCTTTTTTGTCTCCAGAGCAGAAATTTAGCCTTCTGCTAAATTCTATCTTGTATTGCTTTAAAAATCTATAGATCAAATCATTAATAATTAGGTTATAACTAAAGTTAATGTATAAGCTTAAAGTTGTTAATTGTTGTACGCAAACTAAATATGAAAAATATCCAGAATTGTTAAATTGTAAATAATTAAACCTAAGAAACATGGAATATTAGAAAGCTCTACATAAGTAGACTATAAGTTCTAGTAACATCACTTTTTGTACACTGTTTAAATATGTTAGTAGATGAGGTTTCATAATCAAACACAGAAAAAAATCAAACAAAAGAGACATATTTAAAATGTAAAATATCAGCTTCTAACAACTTTAATGACATTGAAGTTGACATTGGCATTGACAATGGCATTGACAATGCCACATATATATTATTGATACCTTTAATAATATATCTTATAATAGCTATATAATCAAAACTGTTATAAATAAATAATGAAAACTTAATAATAATTAAAAAAAAAACTTATACTGTATGACATTTCAAATGTTTGATTTATTTAATAAAGAAGACATTTAAAATGTCTTCTTTATTAAATAAATCGAACATTTGAAATGTTTCATTTATTTAATAAAGATTATTAAATAAATCAAACATTTGAAATGCTAATAAAGTAATAAAAATAAAATAATCACTTTAAGATCTTACACAAAAATAATTTAATTATTGCCTTTATTATTACATTAATAATTTAGGTTGTAGTAAAAAATGTTTTAAGCATTATTTAAATGTTAACAAATATTTTATTATTTAAAAAAACAAAACATCAAGTCACAAGAATCTCTTTAGTTTATTTCTTATAAGGAAGTTTATTTCTTATAAGGAAGCTTTTAAGATTCTTAGAAGATTAATAAATATAGCTTCTTATTTTTATGAGCTACTTGTTATGGAATTGTGTTTAGCTTATGATATTTGGTGCCCACAATTATTATTTGTTCTTCCAATATCTCTATCACATGTCTGCATAAGCCATGCTTATTTGACTTCACAGTTTCTGCAAAAAAAAAAAAGTTGTTTGTTTAATTATGCACCAAAGAGACACAACAAATTGAAAGTAATTCTGTAATGCAAAATTGAAACTGAAAAAATAAACTTTTCTAAACCACTTACCAATAGCAACATATGCAATCAACATTTTTCCTATTCCAATTTTTTGTCTTCTCCCTGCATAATTTAATTTTACAGTATATAAATTGTACTAAGATATCATACAAAATGCATAAAAAAATATTTAACATTTACTTAAGTGTTTTTTTGTCTTTTTTTTTCCAGAGTACTTCTTCACTGCTTTTAATGGCAATGATACTCTTTCAGGCAATAGAATAATTAGCATACCTTTGTTACTCAAATTTTTATAACTAAATTTGATGTATTTTGTAGTTCATTAAGTTGTACTTCAATGCTTGCCCATTGTGCCAATAATATCAACTTAATCTTGAAACAATAAAGTTGATTATATTATAAAGAAACTATATAACTAATTACATTTTATATTTAGAATTTATGAAAGTAAATACAAAAATCACTAATAAAACAGATACAATTAAAGACAGAGGGGCAAATTTTTAATGATTAAAATAGATACTTGCTAATGGATTCATAATATTTTTATGAATTATGAAATTTGCAGGTGTGCATTCAATTTCTGGCACTGACACAAAACAATTCTCGTTAATGTTTGAGATTGCACTGTAAAACAAAAAAATTCATGTTAAAACAATGTTTCTCCAACAGGGTTCGTAGCCAACTATTTAAATAAAGTTGAATGACTTTTTTGAAAAAATCAGATGAATTTCCCTGACCATTTACTAGATAGTAATTTTAAACATTTTAACAACTGTTTTTACAAAATGTTTAAAATTACTATCTAGTGTAATGGAAATGCCAAGATTATACAAGCTTTGAATGACAAAACTTTTAAAACTTAGCTATTAGTTAAGTTGGATATTAGTATAGATCTGTTTATACATGTTAGTATAGATCTAATTATTAAGGATGACTAAGAATGAATACTTAGAAAAACATAAGTTCAAAAAAAACAAAATGGGTAACACCAAAAAAAACATAATAGCTTAATTGAGCGCTGCATTTTGAAAAGTAACAAAATTAAAATTTTACAGGAGAGTAAAAAACATTTCTCCTGTTAAAAATTTTTTATTTATTTTATATAAAAATTGCTTCTTTTATCAAAAAAAAAAAAAATTTTTATCTAAAATAATTTTATTTTATCTTATAATTTAATCTTTTCATAAAAAAAAATATTCTTTTCAAATAACCTCACTTATGAAAAAAGTGTGACTCTTTATGTTTTTAAAATACAGCATTCAATTGTGAAACAAGTAACTTCTTAACTAGAATTACTGACTTTTCCATGACTTTCTAAAAAAAAAAAAATTCCCTGACTTTTACAGTTTTTACACGACTTTAGCCAATATTAACATATATTCCAGATTTTCCAGGTACAGTACAGACCTTGTCCAATGTTTGTAAATAATTTTTTTTACATATTTTAGTTCTGAATTTTAATAATACAATTTTTAAAAATAATATCATCTATAAAAATATTGCATTACCTTCGTCTATTAGATAAATTTAAATAAATGTTTATATAATGAATAATAATGAACCACCAGCAACTGTTAAAACTTTAAACTGATATAAATACTCTGTTGTTTTTTTCAACAGTTGATTTCAAATTAATTTCAAAGTTAGTGACACCAACTTTGAAATCCAAACAAAACTTTTTTGTTACGTTCATAAACTTAAATGTTCTCAAAACAATTAAAAAATCTGGCCAGTTTTTCGCAACTAAATATATATATACATAAAGATAATTAGATGCAGTGTTTTTCCTAATGCACTTCCAAAATATCATGCCTGGTTTTCTCAAAGTACTGTTTCAGGAAGTAATTCCTTTTAACTACTCCAGGTCAGGTCAGGATAATTGAGATCAATCTTGCTACTGGTATCACACAACCCAGTACCACCTGCCACAAGCCCTGCTGCTTTGAAGAGTGTGCTCTTCTTACGCAAAGGCTAGGAGAAATAAACTCCGACTAAAAATTCCCCTTGCCTTAGGGCTCTTGGTTGAGTGAAGCCTAGAGATGGTGTCTCGATAAAAACACTCATCTTGGGCAGATGTTAACTGCATCCAGCTAAACATCCCCTGCCTTGGGGCTCTTGGTTGAGTAAAGGCTAGAGATGGTGTCTCGATAAAAATACTCATCTTGGGCAGATGTAACTGCATCCAGCTACTGTCTTGTAGAAGGCCTCCTAGGCAAAGACTTTAGGTGTAAGCAGAAAAAATCTGCTAACCAGCCTCAAATCCCTTCTTCATCTATTAGGCTGACGTAGATGTAACCTGTGTTAAATTGTTTCCTGCCTAGGATGATTAATGTTGGATCTCCTTGACTCTACTCATAGAATTTTGCTTATGCCTCCTTGATAATGGCTATGCAACTCTTCCTGTTATCTCCATATCAGGGTACAGCTCTAAAATTCAGTTTAATGGTTCTGAGGCCGGCTGGCAGTAATGTTTTCCAAACTCTGTGGTAGCTCTCAGAGAGGCTGATTCCATCAACAGCTGCAAAATATCAGAGTTTTAACAGTGCCATGTTGCGCATGGATTGTGTCCCTGTTAATGTTTTTGGTGTACATTGTCAAGGCAACATAAGGAGCCCTATGTCACGGCTTAGGGTTAACTAACAGGACTGAGACAACTGCATAGCTCATTGATTAGGAGGCTGTGCTCTATCTATGAATGAGTCAAGTTCTCAATAAACCCAAATCATGGCCAAAGTAACCAAAAATTTAAAACCTAAAAAACTATCCCCACCACCTAAATATTTTAATATATATCTTTTACAAATATTCGCGGTCTATGAAGCAACTTCATAGACCGCGAATATTTCTTCAGTTGAGTCTTACCTCCTGCAAAATTCACCAGACTTGCTTGCACTCAGTGAAACAAATTTAAATTCTGCAATTCCTTCTTCATATGTCAGTGTTGATGGGTACTATCTTTTGATTCGTAAAGACTCAAATAGTCACATGCTAGGTTTAGGGGTATACATATGCATTAATTCCCCTATTTGACGTGAAATCAGGTTCAAATCCTTTGACCATTCTTTTATGTGCTTTCGCCTAGCACCTCTTCACTCTATCACCTTTCTCTTTGTTCTTTATCGTTCTCCTTCTTCCCATGATTGCACTCTCTTAGATGTTATCTCTGAGCAATTTGACCATGCCCTCTCTCTTTACCCCTCTGCCAATATTGTTGTTGTTGGTGATTTTAATGCCCATCACACTGAATGGCTTGGCTCTAACACCACTGATTCTGCTGACACTAAAGCCTTTAACTTCTGCGTTTCTCAATCTCTTACTCAGAAAGTTAACTTTGTGACTTGTTTTCCTGACAACCCTAATCATTTACCTTCACTCCTTGACTTATGTCTTGTCTCTGACCCTAGCTTATGTTTAGTTTCTCCCTTAGGTGGTTCTGACCATGCAACGATCTCTATAAATCTTTCTTCTTGTACTTCTTTTTGGGGCTCACCTTATTATCGCACCACCTACTTAAGCTGACTGGGATTCCTTTCGTGATTTTCTTCGTGATGGTCCTTGGGCTGATGTTTTTTTCTCTCTCAGCTGACAAATGCGCCTCCTACATAACCTCCTGGATTTAGGCTGGAATGAAAGCTTTTATTTCTTCGCGTCGGTTTCAAGTCAAGCCTCATTCTACTCCATGGTTTTCTCCTTATTGTGCGGCTGCTATATCCAATCGTAATCATTTTTTTCATCTTTTTCAAAAGAACAACTCTCTTGAGAACAAACGGCTCTTTATTATTGCAAGAAATCGATGTAAAAAGGTGCTTTCTGATGCTAAACTACATTATTCTCAGTTCACTAAATCTCGCATCTTATTGCAGAAGTTAGGCTCTAAAGACTTTTGGAAAATCTTCAACAGCATTATTAACAAGGGTAGATCTAACATTCCAACTCTCATTCATGGGACTGATCTTATTACCTCTCTAACTCTGGAGAAAATTCTGAACCCTCCAATTATCGTCCGATCAGTCTTCTTTCTGTTATTAGCAAGGTCTTTGAGTCTTTGAACTAATTTCTCACATCTCATCTTGAGTCAAATAAACTACTGTCAGACAATCAATACGGTTTTCGATCCTCTCGCTCAACGGCCGACTTGCTAACTGCTGTAACTGAAAGATTTTATCGTGCATTAGATGGAGGCAGTGAGGCTAGGGCTATTGCTCTCGACATATCTAAAGCTTTCAACAAAGTTTGGCATGCTGGTCTTCTCCGTAAACTTGCTTCATATGGTGTTTCTGGGAAAGTTTTTGAGATTATCAAATCATTTCTTTCTAACCAGTTTATTAAAGTCATCCTTGAAGGCCAACACTCTTCTTTTTTTTCAGTATTCTCTGGGGTTCCCCAAGGTTCCATCCTGGGCCCTGTTTTGTTTCTTATCTACATAAACGATCTTCCTGACAACCTTTCATCTAAAGTAGCTCTTTTTGCTGACGACTCAACTTTATACTCCTGTCTTGACAAAAATTCTTCTCTTTTTGACCGCCTAGAACAAGCAGCTGATTTTGAATCAGATCTCACTTCAGTAATAAATTGGGGTTCACAGTGGCTTGTGAATTTCAACTCTAAAAAAACCCAGTTGCTTACTGCAAACAACTACCGTAATATGGTCAACATTCCTATATTAATAAATGGCAATCCTCTTACTGAGTCCTCCTCTTTACGTCTTCTTGGATTATTACTTACTACTGACCTTTCATGGAAACCATATATACAATCGATTGCTAAATTAGCTTCTGCTAAGGTTGCTTCTCTTTATCGTGCTTGCCGTTTCTTTACTTCTGATTCCATTCTCTACCTCTACAAATCTCTTATTCGTCCCTGTATGGAATACTGTTGTCATATTTGGGCTGGTTTTTCTAACAAATCACTTTCTCTTCTTGACAAGGTCCAAAAACGCATTGTAAATGTTGTTGGACCTGGACTATCTGCTAAGCTTGAACCTCTTTCCCATCGTCGTAAAGTTGCATCTCTTTCTCTTTTCTACAAATACTATCATGGTCACTGCTCAAAGGAGTTATTATCTCTTGCTCCATCAACTCAAATTTATTCTCGTT